TATACATGTAAACAGAATCATTAGAATGATTAGCTTGTCACGATCAGCATGTGAATGGATGCTGATCCATCATTCACACTACCTTTACACTGTAGTGTGAAGGTTTTTAATTTTAACAAGTTTGTTTTGCAAACACAAATGAAGGCATAAGCTTAAGTCTATTACTTACAGTATGATGTGTCTGTGTGCCTGTGTGTGTAGGTAGTGGACAGCAGTCTGTAACTGGAGTGGAGAGTGCTGACGATGCTAACAGTTACTGGCAGATCCGTGGGAAGCCAGCACGTCCATGTCAGCGTGGGTCAGCCATCAAATGTGGTCAGCCCATCCGGATCACACACATGAAGACCAGCCGGAACCTTCACACACACCACTTCAGCTCCCCTCTGTCTAATAACCAGGTCAAAATTTTCACAAACTTATTTCAGATTTTTTTTATGTCAGCTGTTTCTACTCAAACAGTTCCAGTTTCTTTCTTTGTTAATCTAGTCTTCTAAGGACATAAAGGTCTACCAGCACTTTATTAAACACACAATGCTAATATAGGTTGAGGTTTGTATCAGAAGATGGGTCCACTGTGGTCCTGAAGGGATTGACGTAGTCAGTAGGCTGTGACATTGGTTTCCCCTCCTCCGTCCTCCACTACCAGCCTGAGTCACACTCTGACCCCACCAGCTGAATTGGGGTGTTTTGCACCACCTTTTTCCAACCTGTCATTGTCTGCTTCTGATGACTGTGTGAATTGCACCTCAGTTTTCTGCTCTTGGCTTTGTAGATGAGGCATTTGTGCCCTGTTACAGAAAAATTTTCAGATTCATTAATAATAAACTAAAACTGAAAATGTGCAAAGCCCCACAATATCTCCTAGGCTAGCATAGGCTTCAGTTCTTCAGATATTGGTCCCAGATAGGTGACACCTATGGGCTAGTCTGTGAATGCTAACTGTAGGAGAACACATTGCGCAAATTCAAAATGTATCCATGTTTGTAATTACAAGATATTAAAACATGTGCAAAGTTGGGCAAAAAAACCTGTCACAACAATTTGCTCATTATTATGATGATTGTTTTTACAAATCGTGCACAAATCATCAGCTGTGGACGGATCGGTCAACACTAGAGCACAGACCAGCTTTCAACTTTTGAGACATTATTACAACAAAATCTCACTTGTTTGGAGGACCAAAACTGACATAATAAGAAATAAAAGCATAAATATATATTTAGTTTTTCCTTGTCCTTACACGAGTTTCTGTCAAGAAATGTATATATTTTCTTTTTCATTTACCCTAAACGTGTTTTTGTCAAGAAAAGTTGATATTTTGTTTTGTCTTTTCCTTATACAAGCCCTCCCTTTGTCATTGCCTCCTGCATCTTTATGTTAATGAGGAGAGCCGCCTTCTATGTCCAGCTCCTCTACTATTGGTCACTAGAGCTTTGGAACCAACGTCACTGCGTCAGACGTTGTGGGGCATTTAGGTCTCGCACAGTCACTCGGTGCCATCTTTACAGGCCACAGATCAAAACAAACTTTATCCCAGTGATTTTATTGTGTTACTGCAGTGAAGTTAGTTTCAAGTTGGATATTGGATATTCCAATATCCGCTGAGTAAGCAGCGTTTAGCTCAAGGTTGATCCAATTTATGAACGCTAATTTCAGCCAGCCATTCTCCAGCTCCCTCCTCAAGCGCTCGGACGTTCACTTGGGGCCTGTCGACAAATCTCCGAACCAAACACTCCTGTAAAACAAATGTTAATAACTGCCTTGCCTTGTGACCAACTGATACAAAAATGTGGTAATTTATGCTTTTACATGAGACACACTACCCTCTATTAAAATGTCAAGTCATATTCAATATTTTAAATAATTTTAATATTAGATATGTTTTCTTCAATAGCTTCCATATTGTGTGTCACATTGACTAGAAATCAGTGTGTAATTGTTGTACTAAACTGTATATATGAGGCACATGCATTTTTATTCCATTTTAACAATTTTTATTTTTGTTACCTATTTTTTTAGTTTGAATTTAATATTTCTCTTCAATAGCTTCTAGGTCATGTGACCTTTTGAGTTAAAGGCAGTGTGAAATTGTTCTACCAGTCTGTACAGATGCGGTACACTCATTTTTATTCTATTTGACCGTTTTTATTCTCGGTCGATACACAGCTCTACATTACCATGTCACCAGGTGACTCTGAACCCCTCCAGTCACTGAATAGATGCTTAAAACAGATAAATGTGTCAAAACTTGCTGCAGCTTAACAGATACAAAACTGAAATTATCTTTGGACCTAAAGAGGAACAATCTAGAGTTATAGATCTAGAGTTGTAGATCTATAACTAGTGATGGACTCTGACCTGAACCTTCAGAGCCACAAAACAGTCACAAAGTCGGCCTTCTATCACCTGAAGAACATTAGAGGACTTATGTCTCAGCAAGATCTAGAGAAACTCATCCATGCATTTATTTTTAGTCGCATTGATTACTGCAAGAGTGTCTTTACAGGTCTGTCCAGCAAATCAATCCTCCAGCTGCAGCTGATCCAGAACGCTGCTGCTGGTGTTCTCATTAAAACCAGGAAGATAGAGCACATAACACCAGTTTTAAAGTCCTTCACTGACTCCCTGTAGCTCAGAGAATAGACTTTAAAATACTGTTAGTACAAACTAACAGTATTTTATAAAAATCACTGAACAACTTGGCACCACAATACATTAAAGATCTGCTGCTGTTGTATCAACCTTCCAGACCCCTCTGGTCTTCTGGTTCTGGTTCTGCTCTGCATCCCCAGAATCAGAACTAAATAAGGAGAAGCAGCATTCAGCTTCTATGCACCACAAATCTGGAACAAACTTCCAGAAAACTGTGAAACAGCTGAAACACTGAGTTCCTTTACATCTCAACTAAAAACCCACCTGTTTGGAGTAGGGATGCTCCAATCAGGTTTTTTGCTGCCGATCTTTGCCGATCACCTGGATTGACTGTTAATTTTTTTGCTTTAGATATAAATCCTTCTAAAATGGAAAAATTATCTGGCAATAAATCCACCTAGACATAAAACATACAAAATACT